GCGTTAGCCGTTAGCTTCTCCAGCCGATCACACGCTCACCTGGTTTCTGTGCACTCCAGTTAGGAGCTCCTTGGGAGCAACATACAAAGAAAACACACTGATTGGGCCAGACTGACGAAGGTTGAAAGGTCTTGTTTGTAGTTGCATTCCAGCTAAATGTGACCTTTTTTTAACAGTCATAAAGGAAGTGAACTGAGCAAATAAAACTCACTTATCAGTGTTTCAGAGCTGCTGGCTGGTTGAACTTTGAACTCTGAAGTGAAACAYGTGACCAACAGATAAGACGTTTGTTAAAAACCACCTGACGTGTGTAATGAAGCAGGAAGTGTTTCGTTTTTTCGTCGTAAACGGGAGTATTGACAGGTCATCAGATTCACCTGGTGCAGAGGAGAAAAACTGGAAACCGTGACAGACTGTGTTCTCTGCTGTGCTTTCAGCTGCCCCCCTCAGATGAAATGTCTTTGGAGAACCTGTATGAGAACCTGTATGAGAACCTGTTACAGGAACCGAAGGAACCGGATCAGAGATCCGGATCGGGGACCCTCTGCTCTCAGCACCGCGAGCAACTTAAGCTCTTCTGTCTGGACCATCAGCTGCCCGTGTGTGTCGTCTGCAAGGACTCAAAGAAACACCACAGGCACAGGTTCAGACCCATCGACGAAGCCGCTCAGGACCACAGGAGGGACCTGCTGAGGGTCCTGAAGCCCCTGAAGAAGAAACTGGAGCTCAGGAAGAAAGACAAGCAGAGGTTTGAGGAAACAGCCGAACACATCAAAGTCCAGGTCAAGCAGACKAAGAGGCAGATCACAGAGCAGTTCAGGAAGCTTCACCAGTTTCTAACAGAGGAGGAGGAGGCCAGGCTGGCTGCCCTGAGGGAGGAAGAGGAGCAGAAGGGCGGGGCGATGGATCAGATGCTGACGTCTCTGAGTTTGGAGATAGAAGTTCTCTCAGAAACGGTCRGCGCCACCGAGGAGGAGCTGAGAGCTGAGGACATCTCCTTCCTGCACAGCTACAAGGCTGCAGTGGAAAGAGTCCAGTCCTGCCCCCTGCTGGACGACCCACAGCTGCCCTCAGGAGCTCTGATAGACCAGGCCAAACACCTGGGCAACCTGGCCTTCAACATCTGGACCAACATGAAGGACCTGGTCTCCTACAGCCCCATCATCCTGGACCCGAACACGGCTCACCCGACGCTCGTCCTGTCCAAAGACCTGAGCAGCGTGAGGCAGGAAGAGGAGCAGTGGCTCCCCGGGAACCCGGAGAGGTTCGACGATTACAACTCGGTCCTGAGCTCGGAGGGTTTCGACTCCGGGGCTCACAGCTGGGACGTGGAGGTCCAGCACAGCTCGAGCTGGGGGCTCGGTGTGTTGGCAGAGTCAGTCCAGAGGAAGGGGAGCTTGCACTCCGGGCTGTGGGTCGTGTATTTGTACAAAGGAAAGTACACGGCGTGGTCGCCGACGGCGCYGCACGCCGACCTCTCCGTGGAGAAGAAACCCCTGAGGATCAGAGTGAATCTGGACTTAAAGAGAGGAAAACTGTCCTTCTCTGACCYGGACACCAACACGTATCTGCACGTCTTCCAGCACACCTTCACCGAGAGGATGTTCCCGGTCATCAACTCCTGGGACAAAATTAATGTTTTACCGATGAAGATCTCAGTGACAAAATGGCAGCTCTGATGCATGAAACTGAAAACACAGAAAGTTAAATAATTTGAGCCTGTGACATGTTCTTCARATACAAGAAGTCAAAGAAAACATCTTTATATTTAAGAAACTTGACACAATCAGAGCCGGCTCTTGGCATAGGCGAACTAGGCGGTCGCCTAGAGCGCCATCTGCTGGAGGGGGCACCGAACTGCAGAAGAAAAAATATTATTTATAATCCCTAGTTGTAACTCTGCTCAGCAACCCTTTCAATTAGCTTTGTCTTAAAAAACAATAATGAGGTATTAAAAGAAAAATAAACCACTCCTACTACTGACATCCATTCTGACACAGTGAGGACTGAGTTTGTCACCCGAGGACCTTATGAGGTAAAATCAGACTTATATTTTCCAAAAATAGAGGACCTTCTAAATCTTTGCACAAATTCTGAACAGGGTCTTTTGTTTACCCTTGTCATTTGATTTAATTATATTTACTTTATGTATTCATTTAATTTGTTGTGTGATGTATGTTTGTGTTTAAAGCAAATAAATCTAAGTTTACCATAGTAAATTAGTAGGGGGGAGTTGCGCTTCAACTCGCCTAGGGCACCAAAATGGCTAGAGCCAGCACCGGACACAATACACATGATTTTATTATTTTGTCACATAATGGGCAAGTTTTCTTTTGAATTTGGTGCAGTCAAAGTGAAACAGGAAGTGACATCAAAGGGGAACCCTTTAAGAAAAGAAAACTCCCTGGTCTTTGTTTATTGAAACAATATTTTCTCTGACTCTTCATCTCTGTGATAATGACTCAAAATAATCTAATAAAACATCAGATTCTTCTCTACAGTTTGCGTTGTTAGCCATTTACTCAAACATTACCCTATGACATCACTTCCTGTTTCTTTACATGTAAATATCTCAACAACCGTTCAGCTCAGCAGCATGAAAATTTGTTTGCAATATGTTATCAATGTTACCTTTCCAAAAATACTTTCATGTTTATTACAAAAAATGATGTTAGTGGCCCTTTAAAACTCAACTTTAACATAAATGTGGGAATTGTAATTATCTCATTTGTCTGCTGTGTTTTCTGACTCAACATCTGGTTGTTTTAAACTCATTTTGACCCGTTTTATGTGTTATTATAAGTCTGAACGAATGCATGTTGCCAGTCAACATCACTGTTTTATTATTAAAATATTACAAAAGAGTACCAACAAACCTTTCTACATCTGTCCGTTTTTCAAAGAGACACGTTTGGATGGATAAAACCTGAATRTGTCACTGCAGGACTGAGATAAAACACAATGACCACTCTCTGGCACTACTGCATGTCTTATTTCTGAGACGCTTTGCAGAAATGCTTGGCTCAGCGTTTATCTGAGATTAATTAGCCCAACTCTCTCTGCTCATCTCTCACTTACGGGTTCTCCCGAGAGAAATTAGTGACTTCCTGCTTTATGCTCAGGACTAAACTCTTGGGACCACTGCCCTAAAAAGTTACACCTCCTTACAGAGTATTTCAAATGAAGCAGCATTAAATWTAACTTACTTTTGCAGGTCCTCACTTGCTGGAAAGCAGATGGTTTTAGCTCGTAATTCTTTGACACATCAGGATTATTRAGATGCATCAAGTTACTGATCTGATTTAATATTTTTAAGTCTGACAGAAATACAATGAGACGTGGTGATGAAATTAAATGATGTAAATAGAGGTGGGGGCACGAGTCATTAATAGTTTGACTTCAGAGTTGAAAAAACGTTCAGAGACTTGTGACTTGACTTGGACTTTTACACCAGTGACTCGGGACTTGACTTGGACTTAAAAAGGCTTGATATTTAACCCAAAATCTAAAGTTTAAAACACATTATTACAACAGACTATTTATTTATTTATTTATTTATTTTAATCCCGAGAATAAAGTCTTAATATTATGAGAAAAAAGTCAAGAGATTAAAGTCGTAATATTACTAAATTAAAATCATATTATGAGAAAAAAATCATAATATTCTGAAAGTTTTTTCAGAAAACATTTTTCTTGTAATATTATAACTTTAAACTCATAATATTGTGATTTTATTCTGGTAATAAATAAATAAATTAAATCTCGTCATGTGGCCTAATACTTTGTTGTAATTTATAAAGTTGGCCCCGTTAATTAAAATCAACATATTAATACAGGCAAACTGTCTCTGTTTTTTTTTGTCAAAAATTTTAAACACTGCCTGAGCAAATCAAACTAACTACATTTTAAAAAAATAAAAAAATTATAGTTTAAAGGTAGATTAGTTTTGCAGCTAAGTTTATTTGAAGTGTACAATATAACGGTGGCAATTTTAAAAAGATTTTTTAAAATATTTTGTAAGTTCAGCAGCATGTTTCATCACGATTTCAAATACAAATTTGAAAAAGAACGCATGTTTTATTATTTACATTAGCATATAACTGCAACATTGTTAAAAAAAGGCTCATAAGGAGTGTAAGTTTCAGATTTGGGATTTGACTTGACAGTTGCCTGTCTTGTCTTCGGACTTGAAGATAAAGACTTGGGACTTGCAAATGACCGGTTCCACTTCTGGTATTTATGTAAAATAATAAATACAAGCAGTGGATCACAGACACCTCTTCCTGAAAACAAAGGGARGAGAAACAGAAAGTCAGACTCTGGTGAACTTTCACCTCCATATGAAGGTTTGTGATCTTCTGTTTGCTTTCGGTTTTGTTCTTGTTGTTTCTTTGCCTTTAGCCACTTATTTTATCACCAAAGCTACTGAACCAAAGACTGTGGGCTGAAACAGCCTCTTCACAATTTAAAGGATTTTTTTCCAAAAATGAAAATGTCTTAAGGATAGAGAAGTTGCCCGGATCTTAAGTTTAAAGAAACGATTCTTTAGGGTGTCGGTTTGTGTCTCTGTCAGACGTTGATGAGGCTCCAGATCAAACCTGACAAGAAATCCAGTTTGTCCACATACTGGTGAAAAAGACAAAGCACATGCCACGTATTGTGTCAAAGCTCCACCTTTCGCCCGGCACACCCAAACCAACAAGATCCAGATCAAAGATGTACCAGAGACGACAAGAAACGCAACATTTCTGGTGTTGACCGGCTTTGTTTAAAGATCRCAGTCCATTACAGCGAAGGGAAAGTTCACATCTGGAGAATGGCCTCGCTACAGGATGATCTCTCCTGCATTATCTGCCACGACATCTTCAAAGATCCCGTTCTCCTGCCGTGCAGCCACAGCTTTTGTAAAGTCTGTCTGCAGAACTGGTTCCAGGATAAACGGAGGAAGCTCTGCCCAGTCTGCAGAAGAGAGGTTCCTGAAAGTGACCCTCCTTTGAACTTGGCTTTGAAGAACCTCTGCGAGGACTTCCTGCTGAGGGGAAACAAGAAACAATCTGCAGGGCCCGTGGATCTCTGTGGGCTCCACTCTGAGAAACTCAAACTGTTCTGCATGGATCATAAGGAGCCCGTTTGCGTGGTCTGCAGAGACTCAAGGTCCCACGCAAACCACGAACTGAGACCCATCGATGAAGCTGCGGACCACCACAGACTGGAGCTCCTGGGGTTACTAGAACCTGTGAGGGAGAAGCTGAAGATTTCCAAGAAGGTTAAAGAAAACTGCGACAAGACGTCAGAGCACATAAAGGTCCAGGCCCGACGAACGGAGACGCGAATCAGGCTGGAGTTTGAGAGGCTTCATCAGTTTCTACGTGACGAAGAAGAGGCAAAGATGGCTGCTCTGAGGGAGGAAACGGAGCAGAAGAGTCAGGTGATGGTGCAAAAGATCACAGGACTTAATCAGGACATAGCTACCTTTTCTGACACCATCAGAGCGACGGAGGAGACGCTGAAAGCCCAAGACGTCTCGTTCTTGCAGAGCTACAAATCTTTGGTTAAAGAAATCCAGCAGTGCTTCCTGATAGTTGATCCAGAACCGGTTCCAGGAGCTCTGCTCRATGAGGCCAAACACCTCGGCAACCTGAGCTACAACATCTGGAACAAGATGAAGGGGATGGTCTCCTGCACCCCCCTGGTTCTGGATCCAAACACSGCTCACCCAGAACTGACTCTGTCTGCAGATCTGACCAGCCTGAGACGCGGGGAGAAGCAGAAACTCCCTGAAAACCCAGAGAGGTTCGACTCGTCCACCTCCGTCCTCGGTTCCGAGGGGTTCGACTCGGGGAGCCACAGCTGGGAGGTGGAGGTTGGAGACAGTTCCTCCTGGGAGGTGGGAGTCGCGGCCGAGTCTTTTCGGCAGCGGGGGGAGTCGGGCGAGCAGGAGGGGTTGTGGAAGGTGGCGTTCCTCAAAGATAAATATGCAGCGAGCGCCTCCCCCCAGGGCCCGGACACCTCTATCATGCTGAAGAAGATCCAGAAGATCCGGGTTCACCTGAACTGGAGCAGAGGAAAACTGGTCTTCTCTGATCCCGACTCCAACGCCTACATTCACGCCTTCAGAGCCACTTTCACCGAGAAGCTGTTCCCGTACTTTAACACCAGCAAAGAAACGCCACTCAGGATTTTACCTGTGGATATTTCTGAGAACAACACGGCTGGCAGGTGGTGGCCTTTTGCTTGATTCAATAAAACAGACCTGGAAAAACTGAAACAGTTCTGATCTGTTAAAAAGAAAAATCAGTAGGTCCTCTGGATGGTTCTTCTTTAGTGAAACGTTTCGTCTCTCCTCCAAGAGATTTCTTCAGTCTGATGAGTTTCAGGTGAACTCAGCCTTATAAGCTCCGCCTCCACATGGACAAACAGGTTAGTCACATGCAAAATAGGGCCATCACCTAACAGTAGGCTTGATTAGTTCTATTGTTCATAGAGGGTCATGTGCCCCATCACCTGACCCGTGTCGTCTTATGTGAATGTAGTGAATGCAAGCGGGGTTCAACGTCCCCTTGTTTTTGTCCATCTCTCCCTCTTTGTGTTGGTATCATTGTTTATTTGGTTATTTTATTTGTTCTGATCTGTATTTGCAGTCAAATAAAGGATTAACTGTTGATTATTTTTGTTACTGTTTTAATGTTTTTTTCTGTTTTTATCTCAAATATGTTTGTTGTTTGTTTGAAGTTGTTTTAAAAGTTTTTTCTTTCTATCTGCACACTTTTCATTCAGTGATTGATTTACTTTTCTTTTTGTTTGTTTTCTAAATGATTCTTTGTTGATTTTAAAAATGAAATTAATTAACAAATTAAAACTAAATATAAAGTTTAAAATAAAGTGCTTTTTTT